GTTCTCACAGTCTCTGGATGTGACAGTTCTCACAGTCTCGGGATGGTGACAGTTCTCACAGTCTCTGGATGTGACAGTTCTCACAGTCTCTGGATGTGACAGTTCTCACAGTCTCTGGATGTGACATTTCTCACGGTCTCTGGATGTGACAGTTCTCACAGTCTCTGGATGTGACAGTTCTCACAGTCTCTGGATGTGACAGTTCTCACAGTCTCTGGATGTGACAGTTCTCACGGTCTCTGGATGTGACAGTTCTCACAGTCTCTGGATGTGACAGTTCTCACAGTCTCTGGATGTGACAGTTCTCACAGTCTCTGGATGTGACAGTTCTCACGGTCTCTGGATGGGGACAGTTCTCACAGTCTCTGGTGTGACAGTTCCCCACGGTCTCTGGATGTGACAGTTGTCACAGCCCTCTGGATGTGACAGTTCTCCACAGTCTCTGGATGTGACAGTTCTCACAGTCTCTGGATGTGACAATTCTCACGGTCTCTGGATGTGACAGTTCTCACAGTCTCTGGATGTGACAGTTCTCACAGTCTCTGGATGTGACAGTTCTCACGGTCTCTGGATGTGACAGTTCTCAGTCTCTGGATGTGACAGTTCTCCTAATCTCTGGATGTGACAGTTCTCACAGTCTCTGGATGTGACAGTTCTCACAGCCTCACTGGATATGACAGTTCTCATAGCCTCTCTGGATATGACAGTTCTCACAGCCTCTCTGGATATGACAGTTCTCATAGTCTCTGGATGTGACAGTTTTCACAGTCTCTGGATATGACAGTTCTCACAATCTCTCTGGATGTGATAGTTCTCCCAGCTCCAGCTCAAATCTTTTCGTAAACAGTTAAACCTTCTCCTGCCTTTGCACCTGCTTTATCGAGTATGTCCCTCAGGGGAGGTTCATTGATGCTGGTGATGGGCTGCTGAGTCAGTGAACTGGACGAGTCCTCCCATTCCTTGAATCAAAGGAATCGAACTTGATTGCCACCCATTCCCCAGGTGCTTTTTGGCCCGTGTATGTCATGAAATTTTAATGATAATTTATGAGGTGTAATAATTTGAGTTTACTGGAGATGTAACTTCCAGCTCTTGGTCCCGGCGCTTAACTTTCGGCTGATTGACGGGAATGAGTCGTGTGATATGTTGTGTGTGTGTGTGTGTGTACTCACCTAGTTGTACTCACCTAGTTGAGGTTGCGGGGGTCGAGTCCGAGCTCCTGGCCCCGCCTCTTCACTGATCGCTACTAGGTCACTCTCCCTGAGCCGTGAGCTTTATCATACCTCTGCTTAAAGCTATGTATGGATCCTGCCTCCACTACATCGCTTCCCAAATTATTCCACTTACTGACTAATCTGTGGCTGTGTGTGTGTGTGTGTGTGTGTGTGTCTTCTGACCTATTTGTACTCACCTATTTGTGGTTGTAGGGGTCGATTCACAGCTCCTGGCCCCGCCTCTTCACTAATCGCTACTAGGTCCAATCTCTCTCCCTGCTTCAAGAACTTTATCGTAAATCTTCTTAAAGCTATGTATGGATCTTGTTTAGATGTGTATGTGTGTGTGTGTGTGTGAGAGAGAGAGAGAGAGAGAGAGAGAGAGAGAGATACAGAGAGAGATACAGAGAGAGAGCTATCTCCAGTGTTACATGTCTGGCTACACACACATACACCAGCGTTCACGGAGAAACACGAGTCAGATGTCGTGCCAATTTGCATACATTAACTCACAACATTAAAACTTCCCAAAGTTTACATTTTCTTCCACAAAATTACACTCATAAAACAACATGAAAGTCGGCAGCTGGCACGAATGTAGGAAAAAAAAGTGTACTCCAAATTTAAGCAAAATATGTATCCTGTAGGTTGCATTGTGTACGACAAATGGAACAAGTATAGTGGAAGCAGTTTTCAACCTTGTTCCTGAGCACAGTTTGGACTTGACACTACCAGTTGTTAGAGGAACCTGGGTTATTTTACCTTCCTGAGGTGAGCTACGCGGCTTGACCTGGTTAACCTATATTAATAATGATAATAGTAATATTAATATAATAATTTTAAGAATAATAATTATATAATTATCGTGTCTTAGTTGTAGTATTATTAGTAGAAGTATAAATAGTAGTAGTAGTTTTGGTGATTGTAGTAGTAATTGATAAATTAGACACATGTGCAACACTTGGGTATCTTTATTGAGGAAACGTTTCGCCACACAGTGGATTTATCAGTCAATACAAAGGAGAACATTGAAGAACAGGAGGAGTTTGAGGTAATCAGTCCCTCAACCTTGAGTCGATGTGGTCAGTCCATCAATCTTGAAAAGAATACAGCATATGTGCGTAGACGTAGCTTATATACTGTAGGCAGGAGAGGTGCAGCAGTCGTAGGTGGTATCACATTTGTCCAATGTGGAAGTAGGTCGTGCCCAAGGGTTAGGCAAGCGAAGAATCTCCTATATTAAGATCGTTTCCTCAGTAAAGATACCCAAGTGTTGCACATGTGTCTAATTTATCAACTTGTCGGTTCTCTGAACCATTCATCTGCAGTAGTAATTGTTGTGGTAGTAAGAGTGGTAGATATAGTCCACATCTTCAAATCCACTTCCACTTTTCTTATTAAATGTCCATTTAATATGACAGTGTTATCTTTTTTCCGAAGTTAGTAAGGGACAAGGGATAGATCCTTCTATTCTACTAGCCATGTTTTACCTATCATGACAGAATAAAGAGATAGATGGACAGGAGGCCTGAACCGTGATGCCAGAATAAAGAGACAGATGGACGGGAAGCCTGAACCGTGACCCTGGTGGTGGCATCCTCCAGTCCATCTCTCCGCTTATTCATTTACAGTCCTTTTATTACGACAAACTGGGTTCATTATGACGGAGGAAGAGGTAGCCAGATGGTGATTGACTATTCTATCAGTAGTTAACATCAGTTCGGACAACAAAACCTTCTATGGTACGGTTTTATCTTGGACTCCCATGTAAAATAATAATAACAATAACAACAACACTGGTCAACGAAAGTTTTGTTTAATGTTTAAAAAAAACCTGTGTTTCTAATTAATTTTGCAACACTGAGTTCAAATCTGAACTTAGTTTTACTCCAGGTATAGTTTCTGTAAAGTGAACCCCCACCCTCCCCCAAGTTACCTCTCCACTATAGTGGTGTCTGCTGAGTGCTGCGCCATTTTATTGAAGATTATTTGTGATTTTCTTTGGTTTTAGCAGATTTATGAGATTCTTTTCTGACTAATTTCGGGAACGTTTTGCCAGCCAGTGGCTTCTGTGTAATGGACTGAAGAAGCCACTGGCTGGCGAAACGTTTCCGTAATAAAGATTACCAAAAGTTGCCCATGTGTCTTATTCGTGCTTCTTTTCCCCCTCCCTTCTTTTCTCTACATTCTCTCGTATCGTCTTCTCTCTATATCTTTACATCTTTGACCTGCCGTCTATGTCCTGTTCTTTGCCTCGTTCTCCGGTAAGGGAAAAAAATCACAATTACCAATTTTTCCATTCCTAAACCTCCACAACCTCTCCTCCCCTCCATGTTACTCCATACCATTACCACCCCATGCTTCACACACCTCCCCCACTCACCACCACTATCACCACCTCCCCCACCACCAATTTCAACACCCTCACTACATACCCTCTGCTATATAGGTGCCGATATACGTGAATATATTGGCCTGCTGTCACGGGGACTGGCATAGTTACTCCTTCCCCTCTCTTTCCTTCCCTCTCATTTTTTTTCTTTCTTTCTCTCTCTCTCTCTCTCTCTCGTTCCTCCCTTCTCTGTCACTTTTCTCCCGCCTCACTCCTTCCCCCTTCACTGAATCTCTCTCTCTCTCTCTCTCTCTCTCTCTCTCTCTCTCTCTCTCTCTCTCTCTCCTCTCTCTCTCTCTCTCTCTCTCTAAATCCCTTCTTTCTTCTACTCAGTTCCTCTCCACACTTGCTACTTCTTAGGTCACACTACACACATGCATGTACAGACATAGATATTTACACACCCATCTGGGTTTTTTCTATTTTCGTAATAGTTCTTGTTTTTCTTTATTTCCTCTTATCTCTAATGGAAGTGGAAAAGAATTCTTCCTCCGTAAGCCATGTGTGTCGTAAGAGGCGAATAAAATGCCGGGAGCAGGTCGCTAGTAACCCCTTCTCCTGTATACATTACTAAATTTAAGAGAAAACTAGTTTTTCTTATATATATATATATATATATATATATATAATATATATATATATATATATATATATATATATATATATATATATATATATATTATATATATATATCGTGCCGAATATGTAAAACTGGTCAATTAGCAAGAACTCATTTAAAATTAAGTCCTTTCTAAAATTTTCTCTTATACGTTTAAAGATATATTTTATTCATTAATGTTAATGTAAAAAAATTTAATTTTGCACCTAAAGGAACTTAGAAAACTTACCTAACCTTATAACAAGAACAATTTATTTTAGCCTAACCCAACTAAATATATTTTAAATTTGTTAACAATAATTTAATACTTAAGAAACACAGTGAAATATATTTTTTTCGTTAGGTTAAGAATGATTTTGGCGATTATTATTATTATAATCAAAAAGAAGCTCTAAGCCACAAGGACTATACAGCATGATTTTGGCGAAATTATTGCATACACAAATTTTCGCTTGTCCTATATGGCAAGATGAGCGTTGCTATTTAAGCCAAGATCGCAAGTTCTGCCTATTCGGCACCACATATATATATATATATATATATATATATATATATATATATATATATATATATATATATATATATATATATATATATATATATATATATATATATAATATATTGTAACCACGAACAAGTGGTGTTTAATCAGTAAGAACACTGCGGGTATTTGGAGGATCGAACCCATGTTTTTTTAGCCTGCCTCACGGCGAGCGAAAAGTACCTTGCCCCAGTATATCTGACCACTTTCAGGATTTCCAGAATTGTATCTTACCTTGATGGGTTCGAGTCCCAGGGAGGTGGTGAGGGAGCGGCGATGTTTGACACTACGTGAAGGTCGCACCTTCCCATCACGACCCGCACCGCACATCATCGTGGCTTTCGTTTACCCACGACCACAAGTGGGTAGGGTTAGGGTCGGTTGGGGGTTAGGTCGTGGACCGGGATGGATGGGGGGGAGGTTGGAGACTGGGTGAACCAGGAGTGAGTTGTGGGTAAGAGATCAACTCTCTCTCCTGCCTTACTGAGAGAGGAGAGGAAACACACAGAGCACAGACTGAAGGAAAGCAGAGGAAGATAGTGTTAAATTTGGAAAATATATAGAAGGATGGGAAGGAAGGATGAAGGAAGAGGAACCGGTTATTATAAAAAATCCTGATGTGCCCAGAAACCTGTAAGGAAGAAAAGAAAGACAAAAGTAAAATAATTGAAAAAGCGTACGTCAGAAGACAAGTACTCGCTTGATAGCGAATATTTTATATATCTGCTATAATATAAAGTTTATATGTGCTACACAAACACAGCTAATATAGAAAGGTACAGTATTATAAATATAGAAAGGTACAATTTTGAAAATTAGAAAGGTACAATATTTTGTACGGCTGGATCCATGTGAGGTTACCGCCGGTGTTATTGAAGACGCAACACATATTTGCAGATCAAAGTTTTATTAATACAACATTTAGCTCTTCGCGTCTCAAGTTGTGTTTCAACTGGTGTTTCAAGTCGGTCTAACTGGTATGGTTTTATTCAAACAATAAAGATTTATCCATTCTGTAAGCTTATCTCTGGCCTATCACAGTGCTTGAGGGTAAAACATTGTTCATATTCTGTCTGTAGCGACCTGATGGTGAGATCGACACCTCCCCGCGGCGAAGATGTATACACCGAGTGGTGTACTGGGTGTATATACCGAGTGGTGTACTGGGTGTATATACCGAGTGGTGTACTGGGTGTATATACCGAGTGGTGTACTGGGTGTATATACCGAGTGGTGTACTGGATGTATACACCGAGTGGTGTACTGGGTGTATACACCGAGTGGTGTACTGGGTGTATATACCGAGTGGTGTACTGGGTGTATACACCGAGTGGTGTACTGGGTGTATACACCGAGTGGTGTACTGGGTGTATATACCGAGTGGTGTACTGGGTGTATATACCGAGTGGTGTACTGGGTGTATACACCGAGTGGTGTACTGGGTGTATACACCGAGTGGTGTACTGGATGTATACACCGAGTGGTGTACTGGGTGTATACACCGAGTGTACTGGGTGTATATACCGAGTGTACTGGGTGTATATGCCGAGTGTACTGGGTGTATATACCGAGTGGTGTACCGGGTGTATACACCGAGTGGTGTACTGGGTGTATACACCGAGTGGTGTACTGGGTGTATACACCGAGTGGTGTACTGGGTGTATACACCGAGTGGTGTACTGGGTGTATACACCGAGTATTGTACTGGGTGTATACACCGAGTGGTGTACTGGGTGTATACACCGAGTGGTGTACTGGGTGTATACACCGAGTGGTGTACTGGGTGTATACACCGAGTGGTGTACTGGGTGTATACACCGAGTGGTGTACTGGGTGTATACACCGAGTGGTGTACTGGGTGTATACACCGAGTGGTGTACTGGGTGTATACACCGAGTGGTGTACTGGGTGTATACACCGAGTGGTGTACTGGGTGTATACACCGAGTGGTGTACTGGGTGTATACATCGAGTGGTGTACTGGGTGTATACACCGAGTGGTGTACTGGGTGTATACATCGAGTGGTGTACTGGGTGTATACACCGAGTAGTGTACTGGATGTATACACCGAGTGGTGTACTGGGTGTATACACCGAGTGGTGTACTGGGTGTATACACCGAGTGGTGTACTGGGTGTATACACCGAGTGGTTGTACTGGGTGTATACACCGAGTGGTGTACTGGGTGTATACACCGAGTGGTGTACTGGGTGTATATACCGAGTGGTGTACTGGGTGTATACACCGAGTGGTGTACTGGGTGTATACACAGAGTGGTGTACTGGGTGTATACACCGAGTGGTGTACTGGGTGTATACACCGAGTGGTGTACTGGGTGTATACACCGAGTGGTGTACTGGGTGTATACACCGAGTGGTGTACTGGGTGTATACATCGAGTGGTGTACTGGGTGTATACACCGAGTGGTGTACTGGGTGTATACACCGAGTGGTGTACTGGGTGTATACACCGAGTGGTGTACTGGGTGTATACACCGAGTGGTGTACTGGGTGTATACACCGAGTGGTGTACTGTATATGTTAGTGTATGTACACTGAAGATTTATTTCTATCCTTATTATTATGGATTAAATTATTCTTGACTGGTGATGAATTAGGTCACATGTATATATAATAAGCTTCGTGTAGTCGACAGACTGTAAACCAAATTAAATAAATCTCCCGAACTGCAACGGCAATTATTATTATAATCAAGGGGAAGCGCTAAACCCGTAGGATTATACAGCGCAAGGGGGGGGGGATGTGGAAGGCATTCAGGCTTAATTCGGGGAACTGGAGCACAGATCCAATTCCCTAAATCAAGAGCCCCTCGCCAACATCAAGGAACCTTCCCTGAGGGGTCTGCAGCGGCAAGAAAACTCTCGGGATCTCGCAACTCGCATTTAACTACCTACCAAGATGTGCATAGTTCACAGGCGTTAAGCTATGAGGAGAGCAAGAGGAGGTTTCCTAAGTTTATTTAGGTATAGTTACACATAAGTGCATACGTTTATGTGATGACAGTTATCCTACTTAGTAACATATGTGTAAATTATCTAAAAAAAAAAAAGGCTTATTTCCATCGGGATCCTTGTAATATCTTATTAGTAGTAGCCTAGCTGTTAGATCAGTGGTTCTTAACCTGGGTTCGATCGAACCCCAGGGGTTAGTCTTAGGGGTTCGGCGGAGATGGGAAATACAAGAACAACGCTCGCTGAATTGAAGGTGGAGAAAACCAGATTCGACGAAAAGGCTACTCTGCCTGTACTCGGCTTTGTACCCATCGACAAACCGATCCTCACAGCATGGTACGAAGCTGCGTACCTGACCGCAAAGTTGGGTAAACCAGACACCATTAGTGAAACACTCGTAAAACCAGCAGCGTTGAAGATGGCGAATATCATGCTGGGAAAAGCTGCTGAAGGTAAGTTATCCCAAATTCCTCTTTCAGATGAGACCATCAGCAGCAGAATAGACGACATGACATCTTGGTTTAAGTAGTTGCAGATCTGATTTCAAGCCCAGCGAAATTTAGCCTCCAACTCGACAGAGACCACCGACTTTTCCAATCTAAGCAAGCTTGTTGTATTCCTGCGCTATGTGAAAGACGTGATAAAGGAAGATCTTATATTTCGTAAGCCTCTCACAACAACCAAGGCAGCCGACGTGAAGAAACTTGTGGATGACTTCTTCAGAGACAACGATCTTTCGTGGAATATGGTTTCTGCAGTTTGTTCGGATGGAGCACCAGTCATGCTGGGAGGAAACTCTGGCTTTGGAGTGCTGGTGAAAGCCGATGCACCACACATCATTGGTACGCACTGTGTTCTGCACAGGCATGCGCTGACAACAAAAACCTTGCCTCCATAACTGGCAGAAGTATTGAAAATTGTAGTGGAATGTGTGAACTACGTGGGAAATAGTGCTATAAAGCACCGCATCTTCAAAGAGCTGTGTAATGAAATGGGCTCTGAATTTGAGGTACTTCTGTACCATTGTAACGTTCGGTGGTTATCCTAGGCAAAGGTGCTGAATCGTGTTTTTGCCTTGAGTGTGGAATTAGCCCTGTTTTTGTGAGAGCACCAACATTGCCATTCTCATTTTGGCGTACATGGCCGATATCTTCGATTCTCTCAATCATCTCAGTCGACAGATGCAGGGCGGTGGAGTCAACATCATCGAAACGGAAGAAAACCTGAAAGTTTTTCAAAAAAAAAAAAAAGCTACCGTTATGGAAACGAGGAACAGAGAATGATAACTTCGCAAACTTTCCCCTGCTGGAGGACTGCGTAAGTAAGATCGAAGACGTGTCTGGAATCGGAGACATTTCTGTACTCGGGGAACTGAAGCAAGTAATTGCCATGAACTTAGATGAGCTCGCAAAGTCTCTCGACGGATACTTCCCCACCAGAGAGACACATCCAGCATGAATGAGACAGCCGTTCAGTGTTGCGACAGCAGATGTCAATGATGAATACCTCGACGAAATCATTGAACTTCAGCAGAGCCAGGTTTAACAGCAACAACTCTTCAGAACAACAACGCCTTCAACGTTTTGGTGTCACCAAATCGTAGCGTAGTGTCTTATTGCTAAGAAAGTATCTTTGCCAGAAATCCTTTTCGAGGATGGTAGACATCAAAATGAAGAAAAGGAACAGACTTTGTTGCGAACATGATGTGAGAGTGACACGTGCCAAGGTGAAGCCGCGCATTTCTGAACTTGTCTCTGAAACACTACAGAAAAGTCACATTGATTTGCAGTTTTGAGTGTGGCTTTGTAAATGGTCCAAGTCGGACCGAAACGTCGTCGTAAGCTCCTCTCTTCTATGTGCGGGTTATTTGTGTATCGTTCCAGTCACGGTATTGTGCCTTTTTTTCGTTATTGATTGACATCATATTTTGAAGAAATCATATTTCATTTTTCCGATTACGAAGGTTCGGTGAATGCACGGAAGAAACTTGCGAGGTTCAAGTACCTCCAACAAGGTTAAGAACCACTGTGTTAGATACAGTGAGTAACTCAACTGCGTGATACTCAGCTACCTTTAAACAGAAGTATAATCGGAAGTTCGGTTAGGATCGAGCAGTGAAGAAAGGTCGTTTAAGCGACCTGATCATCTAGTACCGAGTGTCCAACGGTGTTTCGATCAGGTAAGATAAAAAAAATTGGGTTGTTACGTATCTTTGACCAATAGTAATGAAATAGTAATCAAACGGAGAATTACAAACTAATTTTAAAACTAAAAAAAATACACAGCTATACTGAGGATGTATTTGTGTATTTGTTAAAGTTGTAACAAGAGACTGATGCGGTGGTAATGTTATGGTAATACGCGTGAAAAAAAAGGTAAATAAAGATCAAAATTAGTAGTACAAAGATAGTGATTTCACCTTACCTCAGTATGGCACCCAGGACTGCACCTGTAATGAGAGAAAACGGAGGTTATTTTTCGGCAGAGAAAACGACCGAATATTAATACGTTAACGAAAGAAAATCATGTAAGAGGTACATACATCGACAGGTATATGTATGTCAGTGCATTTATTCACTACGAATCACGTTTAATCTATGCTTTAAGTTTGTTTATATTTAGCTCCTGTATACATAGCATACAAATATTTTTTTTACAGTTGTCTTGGGATCACATAGGTGATATGAGCATGTAAACAGCACCTTTCGTATACAAATGTTTTGTAAACAACACTTTAGTATGTTTCTCACGAAATCGTAATGACAGGATTGCAAATCGTGTCATTACGATTTCGTGAGTCATGTTCACGGTTTTGAGGGGACTTGAGCTAGAGTTCGTCACGGCCACGCTAGCTGGAGATTCGTCTGTAAAAACTTGCATTTGTGGTCACAGTGGTGCCTATGCTAACCTTCCTATGGTGTAGAAATATACCTAGTTGGACGAATCTTATTGTGGCTAGCTGGTCCAGTGGCTAACGCGACGGCCTGGAGTTTTGAGACTCACTGATCGCGGGTTCTATCCCCGCCCGTGGTATGGTTTCTTTTGTATGCTTTATCCCAGGGGTTTAAAGTATTCTCGATGTCAGTGTTCAGGTGACGTCCAGCCTTAACATGACAGACATACAGTCGAAAAATCTTGAAACTTAACTAAATCCTCTGTCAGTGACGGATATCTAAATGGTACATCCCATCACCCCCCTGACCGAATCACTTCTACGCAGTTCACTCTTGAAGGCTGAGAACACTCAGCATTAAGCCTGCAAGCCACCAGTACTCAACACCAAGCCTGCAAGCCACCAGTACTCAACACCAAGCCTGCAAGCCACCAGTACTCAACACCAAGCCTTCAAGCCACCAGTACTCAACACCAAGCCTGCAAGCCACCAGTACTCAACACCAAGCCTGCAAGCCACCAGTACTCAACACCAAGCCTGCAAGCCACCAGTACTCAACACCAAGCCTGCAAGCCAACAACAATTAAAACCAAACCTGTAAGTCATCACCATAATCAATACCAAGCCTAACAACACATTTAATAGTACAACACATTTAATAGTACAACACACTAAACAGTTTACAACACACTAAACAGTTTACAACATACTAAACAATTTACAACATACTAAACAATTTACAACATTAAACAATTTACAATACGCTAGACAGTTTACTATACACTAAGCAGTTTACAAGACACTTAACATTTCACAACACAGTTTACAACACACGTCTCTCAATCTTGCAAATCATCAGAGGTCAATACCCAGTATGCAACACTAAACACTATCACCACGAAAGACTGGACGTACATCCATATTACCAACAAGTGTAGAGACAGGTTGCACAAGTTCTTATTCGGGACAACGTTTTGATCTGTGTATAGCCTGTTGAAGCTCCACAGAGAGCGAAACTGCCTCAGTGTAACATTTTGCACTCTGTCATGTAGCAGGGGGTGGGGTGGGGGGGTTGACCCTTCCGTCGGGTTCATCTCTGGACATTTTTCAGCAAACCTTTTTTTTACCGAAACAAATAAAGGAAATAAAAACCCGGGCGGGTGAATAAAAAGACCAGATGTAATGGACAGTGCTGGTTCTGTCTAGACTGTTGTTTATATTTTTTTCCTGCTGGACAGAGTGAGGTAATTTTTTCAGTAAAGTTGAAATGAGTTCAAGAGTATATTATTGCTAGGTAGAGATGTAGGAATTATATATTGAGACGGGGAGGAAAGGTAGATTTGTAGGTCAGGAAGAGTTGAATCCTTGCCTGTCATGAAGGGTAAGTTATGGAGGCTTGATCCACCGTCCTCGTAAGGGGTGTTGAAGGCTCAATCCTCTGTCTCTACGTTCCTCCCTCCGTTCTTGCCATTCACACAGAAGAAAAATGCTCTACACAGATTTTTTTACAGACAATAATACCGCGCAGCACATCTGTGAAGACCCGTGTTGCTACCCTTGTATACAACCTCGTTGTTGTCCTCCTTCAGGCACTCACTCTTGCAATGTTGCAACACATTGCTACTCTCCTCTTTTTCATTTAGACATTCAGTGTCGATACAAACGTATTTTCCAGGTCTTATATCAGATGCTTGGCCCGTCACTGCATTCACTCTTATAAACTTATGAATGTTATTAACTTTGATATACCTTTGAAGAGTTTCGAGAGTTTCTCTACTCTCTGAGCCCGGCCATGGGCCAGGCTCGTCTGGTGCTATTGTAAACATCTGATGAGGATCGAAATATACAGATGAATCAACTCTTCCTGTGTTTCTGTCACAATGTGAGTTATTAGTGAGTATCAACAAATGTTTATTACACCTTAGTTATTGATATAAATCTTCTTATCAACATATAAATCTTCTTATAAACGGAAAATTATTTTATAAACATAAATGTTTTTAACAATTTTTTTTTAAATACGAATGTTAACATTGTGTTTTTTTACACATGTGGCTCAGTTTATTAACATTTTCCTGTGGTCACTGATGTTATAATGTCACTCGTGTTCATGTAGTCTTTAAAAGGTGTGACTTGAAGCCTTTGTAGAACGTGTGATTATTTTCCTCAGATTGAAATTGAGAGGATCTTACTGATGAGTGCCATGAAACTACCGTGTTAGTCCTTAATACTGCCGTGTTAGTCCTTAATACTGCCGTGTTAGTCCTTAATACTGCCGTGTTAGTCCTTAATACTACCGTGTTAGTCCTTAATACTGCCGTGTTAGTCCTTAATACTACCGTGTTAGTCCTTAATACTACCGTGTTAGTCCTTAATACTGCCGTGTTAGTCCTTAATACTGCCGTGTTAGTCCTTAATACTGCCGTGTTAGTCCTTAATACTGCCGTATTAGTCCTTAATACTACCGTGTTAGTCCTTAATACTACCGTGTAGTCCTTAAAACTGCCGTGTTAGTCCTTAATACTACCGTGTAGTCCTTAATACTGCCGTGTTAGTCCTTAATACTGCCGTGTTAGTCCTTAATACTGCCGTGTTAGTCCTTAATACTACCGTGTAGTCCTTAATACTACCGTGTAGTCCTTAATACTACCGTGTAGTTCTTAATACTACCGTGTAGTCCTTAATACTACCGTGTAGTCCTTAATACTACCGTGTAGTCCTTAATACCATGTACTCCTTAATACTACCGTGTAGTCCTTAATACTACCGTGTAGTCCTTAATACTACCATGTAGTCCTTAATACTACCGTGTAGTCCTTAATACTACCGTGTAGTCCTTAATACTACCGTGTAGTCCTTAATACTACCGTGTAGTCCTTAATACTACCGTGTAGTCCTTAATACTACCGTGTAGTCCTTAATACTACCGTGTAGTCCTTAATACTACCATGTAGGCCTTAATTACTACCGTGTAGTCCTTAATACTACCGTGTAGGCCTTAATACTACCGTGTAGTCCTTAATACTACCGTGTAGTCCTTAATACTACCATGTAGGCCTTAATACTACCGTGTAGTCCTTAATACTACCGTGTAGTCCTTAATACTACCGTGTAGTCCTTAATACTACCGTGTAGTCCTTAATACTACCGTGTAGTCCTTAATACTACCATGTAGTCCTTAATACTACCGTGTAGTCCTTAATACCATGTACTCCTTAATACTACCGTGTAGTCCTTAATACTACCGTGTAGTCCTTAATACTACCATGTAGTCCTTAATACTACCGTGTAGTCCTAAATACTACCGTGTACTCCTTAATACTACCGTGTAGTCCTTAATACTACCGTGTACTCCTTAATACTACCGTGTAGTCCTTAATACTACCATGTAGTCCTTAATACTACCGTGTACTCCTTAATACTACCGTGTACTCCTTAATACTACCGTGTACTCCTTAATACTACCGTGTACTCCTTAATACTACCGTGTAGTCCTTAATACTACCGTGTAGTCCTTAATACTACCATGTAGTCCTTAATACTACCGTGTAGTCCTTAATACTACCGTGTAATCCTTAATACTACCGTGTAGTCCTTAATACTACCGTGTAGTCCTTAATACTACCGTGTAGTCCTTAATACTACCATGTAGTCCTTAATACTACCGTGTAGTCCTTAATACTACCGTGTAGTCCTTAATATTACCGTGTACTCCTTAATACTACCGTGTACTCCTTAATACTACCGTGTAGTCCTTAATACTACCGTGTAGTCCTTAATACTACCGTGTAGTCCTTAATTACTACCGTGTAGTCCTTAATACTACCGTGTAGTCCTTAATACTACCGTGTAGTCCTTAATACTACCGTGTAGTCCTTAATACTACCGTGTAGTCCTTAATACTACCGTGTAATCCTTAATACTACCGTGTAGTCCTTAATACTACCGTGTAGTCCTTAATACTACTGTGTAGTCCTTAATACTACCGTGTTAGTTCTTAATACTACCGTGTTAGTCCTTAATACTACGGTGTAGTCCTTAACACTACCGTGTAGTCCTTAACACTACCGTGTAGTCCTTAACACTACCGTGTAGTCCTTAACACTACCGTGTAGTCCTTAACACTACCGTGTAGTCCTTAATACTACCGTGTAGTCCTTAATACTACCGTGTTAGTCCTTAATACTACCGTGTTAGTCCTTAATACTACCGTGTAGTCCTTAATATATCAACGCACTGGCGCCATCTATGGGCCATTACCCGAAATATTGTGACTTTTTTCGTTCCTCTCCTTTCTTCCCCACTACACGTACGACTTTGTTTCCCTTCCTTATTTTCCCCTTTCCATCACTCATTTTTCCCCTCGACTCCAGTTGCATAGAAAGTAGAAGCAGAGTGTGTGTAGAGCAGTTGCGACAGGAAGACTCGAGACAGAGGGAAAGGGATTCTAACCACTTCCAGTCACAAACCTAAATCAACTCCCCTGCCCCTACCACCATCAACCTAAATCAACTCCCCTGCCTTTACCACCACCAACCTAAATCAACTCCCCTGCC